TTAGCAGAGATCTGGCAGGAAGGATTGTTAAATCACAAACTAAACCTGAAGTTCCAAGTTGCTCTTCTGCAGGTAAACAGGCATTAAAGAGTTCTGCCTTCCAACTTCAGCCCAGCCCAGTCAGAGCTACCTAGTCTCTGGTTACCTTTGTCAAAAGTCAAAATATTACATACATGTTGTGTGTGTATTTTACAATTCTGGGCACTTCAGAAACCTAGACAGGAAGCTACAAATGGCTCAGTGACAGCACAAGGGCTAGTTATTCCCAACAAAGCCATGTTTTAAGCCAGTTTCAACAGCACTTGTGGATAGACATCCTGTAATTCAACTGCCATCCAGTCTGTTTGGGGTCCCACAAAATGCACTGGAATATACAGAGCAAATAATCAAAATCAAATGAGAATTTATTCCACACACTGTACTTTCATTCTGAGCATTCTTTCCCACAAGCAGGGGAAAATCAAGTGAGCAAAAAGAAACTAGAAAGTTATCTTGCGTAAGCATCAAAACATTAGTAAGTCCAAATAATGATATAGTCACTAGCACATAAAAACTAATTTGCTCATTAAAAGCTTTATATTGGGCTTATACTCCCTTACTGAGACCATGAATCATTGCAATCATGAGAACCCATACCCTTAGTTTCTTAGGGCTTTCCACTAAAACCCATGAAGAAAACAGAATATTGTGTCCACCACACAACCTTCCTGCATTTCTTCTGTACACACACAAAGCTCCCATGGCAAGAGCAGAGTGAGAAATGCTAAAGGCAGAAGAGGAAGAAAATAACCAATGTTTATGTTCAGGAGAGATGACTGGGATGTATCAATCTCTTTTTTTATAAAGAAATAATCCACTGACTGCTAGAAACCGCAGCAGACACTATCTCCATGGAGCCCCTCCACTCCATACCAGGCTTAACATTTGTTCCTCTCATAGCTCTCCAGACCGTGTAACTCTGTGGAGCTGTTCTGATGGAGCTTTCTGCAAATACCCCGTGAAATGCCGTTTCTCACTGCAGAAGGGGGCCCAAGAGGAAAATGCTAGTCAGCATCAAATTCTTTCCATAGCCTATGGACATTTATTAATTCAGCCCTTTTCCTCCCTAGTCCAAGGCCTTGGATTTCCCTAAGCTCTGTTTGGACCCCACAGACAGCAAAAAATGATATTTCTAAAGAGACTGAATATGGAGGTTAGGGAATATCCTAACATAAAGGTTTCTGCCTTTGAAAACCTCATTGCACTACATGCATTGTCTAAATAGGACACCGAGAAATAAAATTTAAATTCAAGTTCATGTGACTTTTCTGGCACACTTTTGGTTACTAAAATATTAATTTTTGACCCCATGAAATGTGTCAAGTATGAGCTGTTTGGCTTCAAAGCAATATACCCCAAAAACTGCATGCTCAGCTTCAGTAAATACTAGTTCATAATTGCAGCCTATGCTTTACCCAGTTTCAAAGTAGTTACAAAGTCAGAAGACAGTCATTACATTTCATTCAATGAAAAGAGCACATCCCAAATGAGGTGTCTTTAAAGAAAAGAAACAGGACAACTTGCACTGACAACGTTTATCCTTTGTACTATGCAAAGCTCTCCTGATTCATCACCTATTCATCTGCCACAGACACATTACTGCCCTACATCTGTTTGCATCTTAAATCACAGACTTACTGCAAACTCCCTCCAATTATGTGCCCTTGGTAAAGTACAAGTGTCATTCCAAAACAGTCTACTGGAAGGAAATCTAGGAACTACTGAAGGATTAGCATATAAAAATTCCACAATTATTTTTTCTGTCTTAATCGCTGTTTCCCCAAGTCTGCTTATTTCTTTTAATCTGTTACATTTAATATTTTGTTTGTTTAAGGCACTTCAGCTCAGAAAGGTCTGAGAGCAGTACATTTTTTTAACGCAGAGAGTTTCTAGTATTACTCCATTCTGGAGGGGAGCAGCTGAAGTGCAGAACACTAGCCTTATTCATACCTTTTTATTGAACCCTAGCTTTCTCCCCCATATACTTAGGTCTGCCCCAGGCATCATGCAAAATTCTTGTGAGCACACACCTGTCAGTCATCAGGAGCATGTCCATCACAAGCTACAACAAAGATAGAAATTTGTGAGGAAAACAATTTTTATCTGCTAATAAAGAAAAAATCATAGATGGATCCTTACTGAAGTAGGCCAAGGTTGCCAACAGATGTACTGAACAACATCATCTAAGCTCTGGATGCTGGTAGAATTTCACTATCATGCAGTTTTTAGGCCTTTTATCATTAATTTTGGCATGGGTAATGAGGTTTTTGATAACACAAACACTAAAAAATACACATACATATGTACCTAGTGATGTGCAAAGATATTACCCCATGAAGAACAATAGGGAACACACTATCCTACATCAGAGTACTTAATATGATCAGCCCATAAGGGGTTTCTGAAGATGCAGCCTGTAGTTTTATGTCACAGTGTTACAATGCCTTGACCTAAGACTTTTCCTGAAGAATTATTTTAATGTGCCATATACTTGAACCATTCTCAAGTTACTCCAGAAGAAAGAGAGAACTGTCTCATGGACTGGTTCAGTCCATACCCCTGAGATACAAACAGAAGCAATCTCCACATTTTCTCCAAACACAATGAGCAAGACCACAGGTGCAAGTAGACTAGAACAGGGAAAAAATTTTTCCTTGAAGGACTGCTAACATTTCCATGATAGATAGGAGCAGCTCCACGAGTCTCATAGAACAGATTTCACTTGTGTTCCAGGTAACATTTCCATATCAAAAAATCTAGAAGGCTTGCAAAATTTGAGACCTGCAACAAAAGAGCATCTACTCGATATATGGCTTATGCTATACACAGTAAAATAAATGGAGCAAATGAATGTTTTACAAGTGTGATGTTAGTATTCTGTAAAGGTTATTTCTCCATTAGAAAACCCTGATACTTAAAATGGATTCAGTGGGACTAATAAATTAGTCCAGTAGGTGTTAATCAATAATATAAATGAATAACCAATGGAAAACTGCCACTAGTATGCCAAAGGGGAAATCATCCAAGAATGAAATTGGTGCAATAATACAAGTGTATTGTATCCTTCAACAAATACATGTAAAGCATACTGGATAGGGACCAATTCCCAGTACAAAACTATGTGCTCCTTTAGATGGCCTCAAAATACTTAATTTTATAAGGAATCTTTATAGGATAGATTTTTTTTTTTTCCCCTAATTGTAAACACTGATATGTTGAATTCAAAGATGCACATATGCTGTTCTTGTGCACTGGATATTTTGTTTAAATTTTGTAGGGTTTCTCCCCCCCCGATTTAATTATTCTTGCAGACAGCTTTTTGCCAGAGCTCTGAAGCCTAGAAGAAAATCCCCGGAGATTTACATGAAAAAAGCTGGCGTTCCCTCTTATTTGCCTATTGAACACACTCACGGTGACAGATTGTTTGGATGGGCAAAGCCTATCCTGTTTTAACATCTGAAACATCTGTCCAAGATCCTCAGACAGTCTGCATGCATTTACAAAGCTCTGACTTTGCTCAGGTTTATAATACTTGTTTTACAGTGCTTACAGCACTGCCCACAGCTCCTGCAAGAGTTGAGCTTGCCGAATTTTGCCACTCAAAATTCCCTCTCAGCCACGAAAGACTAAATCTCCCAAGTTAATTTGGCTTTCATTTGTTTAAGATTTTTGGCAAAAACCCACAGAACACCTGGCACAAATTTTTATATTTAAAATTAAACCAGACACAAAATCTACATATGAAATTCTTGTAGTTATTGGAATTACTTCCTTTGATGACAGAGGAAGCTGAACTACATCTTTCATTTTCCAACAGGGAAAAATTAACTAACACCTTCTAGGATTATTCTTGTCCTTTGTATAAAACCTTTCCCCCACCACCACCAAAAAACCACTGGCTTTTCTGGCCAATCCATTTCCACAACCTCTCATCCAGCAAGGCAGCAGGAATTTTGACTCAAGATTGGTAATACTGATGCTGAATATCTAGATTGTCAAAAGCCAGGTCAAAAATGCCTAAGATGTCCAGAAAAAAAATTTACATCTTGCAAGAGATGTGTTCATCAATATTTGAAAGTTTATCTTCCATGGAGCCTCAATGGCTACTTTTTTCCAACACTGGGGCAATAAAACCCACATTCAGTAAACTTGATCTTTTAAAGCCTCACAGCAGTGTTATAGCCAGAGTTGTCAAAATTCATGCCTGTCTTGGAAAGTGCTAAGAAGCAGCTTGTCAGAAAGGGGATTGCTGGTACACAAAGCCCCAAACGCAGCCTCATGTCCAAAGCTGCCATCCTTCTCATGAGGGACAAATATTCTTCAGAGCAGCACTACAGTTTTACAGGTACTGATAGGCAATGCTAATCTCAGTGCCACAAAACCACATCACCACTCAACTCGGCCGATGTTCAAACCTCAGACGGGCTTTTCAGAGAAGTGTTGCCCTTACTGTTCATTCAGCAGCTGGCATCACCTCTTTGCATAGGGAATCTGAAGGCTTCTCTGCCTTATATTAACACACTTATTTTTAAAACCTATGTTTCTTTGGATCAGATAGGTGTGATAGATTATTTAAAAAATCAGGAAGCAAATAACAAAAAGACAAAACAATACAAACCAATTAACACCTTGTCCATCTGAACTAGCTATACCAAAGAGTAGATATAAAGGCCCCCCACTCTAGCCCTCTATTATTTTCTAGTCATCCCCAACACATGAAATTATATTGTAAAATCCTCACTGGAGAGAGTTTGGCCTCAACTCTAAGCTGTCTTTTTATTATGCTTCCTCAGAGGAGAAAAGCTGAAGCAGTAACAATTTTATATCACCTCCACATTTTCTCTCCTCTATCCCTGGGCTAGTCCCATGCATGGTAGCTCACACCCAGCTTCATATTGACTCAGAGTCCACTTCTAGCAGCCAGGAGTTCCCAGCACACTGAAATATCACAGCTTACTTACTTTTGCTCAGGAAAGGGTGCTTACACTGAGCAGGAAAGCAGAAGCCTTTTCAGGCTTTTTCAGGTGCCATCCTGGTGACCTTCTGTCAACAGAAGAGTCTTTCAGCCATGAGTTAAGCCAACATTACAGCTACTTCACACTACCAGGTAGCTGAGCCGAAGACCTGTCTGCCCATCTTGTCTGCAGTCTAGGAAAAAAAAAAGAAAAAAAAGAACAATAATAAAAAATAGGAGGCCTTTGACAGGCAGAACAAATAGTATGTTTTGTCAGTAACGCCATGTAAATCTAGCAATAGATATATGTTGACAGATGTAATAACGTGCAGCAGGAGCACAAGTGTGTCTAGCCCTCCCACAGGTATCCAGCAAGCTTTTCATACTCAGGTCTGCAGTGACTGGACACATGTGGCAGGTGCAGGAGGTTTTAAGATCGCTCCCACCTCCCTGCTGCTCACAGTGGTTTGTTGGCTTTATTTCAGGCATTCAGCAGACTCTGTAAGCCCTTCTAGGCTTGGAATTGATAGCTGCCAGACTGCACAAAAGAAGATGTTCATTAGAGTTGATACTAAGAGAACATCAGCACCCCATGTTTTTTAAATTCTGTTCTTCCCCCATCTCTGGATTTAGGAATAAAATTTAAAGCACTGTTCTTTAGGAAACACTGATTTTTATGGCTTCAAAACAAAACATACTATAACACATTCACAGAATGCTTGAAATGTTGCATAAAATTCTCCAAGTCATTAAGAGACATTAAAATATAATACATTTTTTTTCAGCCTTTTTAATACTTCAAATACTCTCCTCCAATTCAACTCAAAATTTGGGTTGATTTTTTTAATCAGCACTACAGATAACTGCCCCCATTCCCATCAAAGGTGATTGTTATAGCTCCCATGTCAACAGCTATTATAATAAAAATTGACTTGTGGGAAAGTATGCAATAGTCTCAGTACATTAAACCACAAAAAAAGTTATAACATCCTAATCTATATATACCTGCCAGACTCATACCTATCAATCTGCTACTAAACTTGCAGATGATATGCAAATATGCACACTATTTCTAGCCAGCTTTTGTAACTTTTAATAAAATCCCTCTACAATCAAGAAATTTCAACCTATTTATTCTTAAATAAATAAGCATTGATTATTTTCTTCAGATATTAGATTCAGATTTTATGTTCATTTTGGAGGTAAAAACTAATATTTCAGTTAATATTAGTAAAAACTAATATTTCAGTACACATATGGCATTATAAAACAAAGCCCAGTAATGATGCCTTTCTTAATATCCATCATACAAATGTTCACTGCATAATTCCTGTTCTTTCCAGGAAAAACATGCAGTCTTGCTTCAGTTTCTTTTTAGTAAATCTTTGAGTCAAATTCAAATTATTTTTCTCAGTTTTTGTATCTCAAAAAACTGCAGTAGTAAATTTGATTAGTGTCAATTCTGGCCTTCCATAAAACTTCAAAGATTTCAGTAGGCAAGAGGCTAAAATAGGCTTAGGCCTATTCAGAACTGTTTTCAGACGTTGTTAAAAAATATATCATAATTTTATGGTTTGCAGAATGATTTCCTGCACTTATTTAGAACTGCCTAAATAAGTGATAAGAAATGATCAGTTTTTAGCCTTCAGGAAGTGAAACAATTCAGAGCTAGAATAAAGCAGTCTCTCCAGCACCTCCAGGACAGCTGGTCTATACTATCCCCATTATTCATCATTTGAGGCTACAACAGATAAATAACAGACCCTAAACTCAAACATCTGGACAATCTAACACATACCTTTCTTGGGATCCCCTTATAAATACGATTCACATTCTGGGTTTTTAGCAGAGTAAGTTAGGCACAACCTAACACACCGCCAGCATTACCCTGCTTCCATATTTGCTAATTAATTCATAACGTTGATACATGAAGCCCATCCATTATTTGAGATATGCATCACACTTTCTATACTTGAATCTATGTGCACTCTGGATATGTATTTCTCTGAAGCAATCAACCACACATATATTCTTCAAAAAGCACTCAGATATCTAACTGCAACCTTGCTTGCGCTGTTGCCACACCATTGCAAGCCTTTCCCATCATTTTTATTTGACACTTGCTGTTCAGGTTTCAACTCCACCTGATCTGCAGTTTTCCCCAGATAATTCCACCCACAAAAAAAAAAAAAAAATGCAGGGGAAAGCAGGTGTGAAACAATCCATCAGCCAAATAGTCAACACAGATTATTTACATCTGAAACCTATTAAACTGGTAAAGTCATAAAGGATAAGGAACTCCAAAATTGGAGCAGACAAATTCCTAAAATGTGCATGTAAGGAATAACAAAACATACAAATTTTAGCCTTTAAATAGATGGCTTTTTTGGAATTAACTTGATACAGCAAGTATTATAAGGTCAATAACATTCATGTTGTCAAAAAGGGAGAAAAAAATTAACAAGGGAGTTTTTAGATGCAGGGGTTTTTATGTTCAGTGTATACACTGAATACACACCACCTGTTAAGAGTCCCCAGTTTCCTCCTTCCTTTCTACTCACATACTTACCTCCCACAGACAGGCAGGTAACTCCTTCAGCCACTGCTTATTTGTTTTGCTGGGAGAAGTAGCAATATAACCAACCCTCCTTACAATTTCTTCCTAATTTGGTAAGCGATTAATCACCGACAAGAATCATGGCAATGTCCATCTCTTCAGTGGATTATGCTATCACTACAATAATTTACACTGCTAAGTTTATGTGTGGTTCAACTCACACTTCACTTAAATATTCAACTAATGAATGTTTTCCCCTCAATATTCCTTGCTGTAACAGCAGCCTTTCCAGATCACATGAAATCTCTGAAGCTACTACTTAACTCTACAGTAGCCCTAATGGATTAAGGTTTTTAAACCACTTATATCATCCCAGCTTCCCAGCTAAAAAGAAGTGAAAATAAAGTAAAATTTGGACATTACTTGATCCTCCATATCTTTCCTCCTACGAAGTCCCCCACAGCACACACACATTGAACTGAACTCTGCACAAATAAGGTTCATGCAATGACATTTGTTAATTCAGTCTGCAGTAGGAGCATCTGTCTGAAAATAGGTATAGAACATCCAACCACAGCCAGATTTGGACCTACATTTAGTGTATAATCTGTGTCACACTCTGTGGTGGTACAACCACAGCCACACCATGATTCTCTGAACTACTTAAGACACTGCTTCCTGACACTCCTTGAGGATACAGTCCAATGAGATTATTTACCTGATTCTGTCACATCATGGAGTTCATGCTCAGAAATCTGTGGCAGGTAACATGCTCTCCATTCTATATAATTTACAGCAACCAAAGGGAAGCATTTCAAAGGGAAGCATTTCAACATCCCTTCTCCAAAAGATATTGGCCACATTATAGACAAAATAGATTATCCCTCAGAAATATGACATCTAGCATTGCTTGAAGTCAAATTTGAAAAGAAAAAAACCTTTTACTGCTCTACATGACAGAACTTTGGTCACTACAAGACATCCAAGCAACATAGAATTGACCCCTAAAAGCCGGCGTGACATTCTGACAGTGATGCATTGCTGTTCCTTATGTCAAGGGAGTGCACATCAGCAGCTGGCTGATGCAGGAATTGGACACACATCCTTTTGCTGGAATACATCCTCCTTACAGGCCTTGCCTTCATTCCAGCCTGTCAGGAGAATTTCTTCCACTGCACCCAGACATATTGCAAGTGTTTTGCCTGTTTGATGAAGCAGCAACTCTTCATTTGTTTCCTCCCAGAGTGCAAGATGCAGCCCCAGGGAAACTTCCTTGTACATCAAGCATTCATATATGAAAATGTAATTTAAGGCAACTATTTAAATAATAAGCAAAGCTACAAGACTCTTAACAGATGTGGTTTGTAAAAAGCTGACCTAGCCTTATGGGACACTTTCCACTTCAAATATGCAGAATCAAGATTCCACATAGAATTTTTTCATAAATTTAGTTTGATATGTTTAAAATACATAGTTTATGACAGCTCTATTATGAGAATGAAAAAAGCACTTTAAAGTGTTGTTGAATATTGGAATGTAAATCTCAGAGCTCCTTATCTTATGAAGTAAGTCTTCTTGTGTGCATAAAACACAGTTCAAGTATTTCCTAGAAAACTGATGACAAATCCAGGTGTAATCTTCAGACAAAGTCATTTCAGATGCCTAATGCCTGTAAAATTATAGCTGTGCCTGGTCTTAAATTTGATGTACTTTCAACATATCTATTAAAAAAATAGTTTTCAGGGTCTTCTAATTCAATAAAAAAAAAAATTGATTCAGCATGCATCTTGGCATAAGAATGTTTGGACCAGACTATACAAGCAAGTACCCACAGACAGAGGAGAGTGAATTTTCCTTTGGTCATAGGGTCCAGGCTCTCTCCCTAAAAAGAGGATATTTGTATTTACAAAGTTCTATTTCTATCCTTCACATACATGGAATCAGTTTCAAGAGAACAGCAAGCAACCTGCATTTTTACCTACCTGCCCTGTAAGTCAGCACTGGACAACTGAAGAACAAAAGCCCTCTTTCCACAGTAAGGTGAAAAGCATGTAGAAACTCAAGCAGTATTTTTTAACATGTTTAAAAGAGTAAAAATAAAAATGAGCTCTTAAAAAAAAAACTGCCAAAAAAACCCCCAAGAACCTAAAGCCTGTTTCTAAGAGACATTTTCTTGATATGTAATATTACTTTAAAGCTAAAATAAGAGCCATTTAGCTACTGTACTAAATTCCCCAAATTACTATTTTTTAAACTTGATCTAGAAAAGAATAAGAGGCTGGGCCACCCTGATGAGGCCTTCCTGCTGGGCTTGGGCAAAGGAATAACGTAAATTGAGAAGCCGGATCTGATCCTAAAAACTCTTTTCAACAACATGAGACTCTGGCAAGAGCAAAGGGATAGGCTGGCTGGTTATTTTAGCCAATGCACATGTGCTACTGCCTGCAGATCACAGCTGCTGAATTAGGCAGTGGGAGCAAAAAGACACATGGGCAGGCATCTTTAAGCAGAAAAAGATACAAGCAGCAACGTTTGGACTCGTATTTCAAATGCACCAGTGTCTAGCAGCTCTCCAATCCAACATCACAGCAACGGGCACCACTCTGCTTTCAATGTGCCCAGCCACAAATTAAACAG